AGCAGTATTTTTTCCAAGCAAGAGGTTTAGAAAAACCAGCGATGGATTAAAGATAAGGATAATTGAGAGACGACTTAAAAAAAAAAACTATGATGAACTGTTCTGTAGAGTTTTATTTTCAAGGCAAAATTGAGTGGGAATTTAAAAAATGAGTGGGAAAACACTACAATTTGTCGCTCTGTGTCTTGTGCCCAGCTGTTTAGATGCTAGGGCTGTAACCAAGGCCTGGCTCTATCTTAGTGGCTGTTGACCACGACCATAACTGCAGGCAAAGTGAGTTCTGGCTGGCAAATTGAGGAAACGGAGTCATAGTGTGAAAGTGGGGCTGGACCAGGGAAGACACTGGAGAAATGAGGGTGACCTTGTAAGCTAAGTTTCCTTCTCCTTATTTTGCCGCTGAACCTCATATCAGCTGAGTGGATAAGGGAGGGGGCCTGTCAAAGTCAGGGCCCTGCAGGTGGAAGGGTGAAAATAAGGCAAAGGAGAACCCAAAAGGCTTCAGAGAGGGCTTGAGGCAGGCCTGCCTGGGAGAACGTTCTGTGATGTTGGAAACATTCTGTGTCCATGCCAGCCATCTGCTACCATTGCTGCTGAGGACTGGGAATGTGACTTAGTATGACTGAGGAACTGTATTCTAAATGTACTTATTTCTAATTAATTCGCATGGAAAGAGCAGGACTAGAGAATCAAAAAAGTTTACTCTTGAGATCATTCAACAAGGTTTGGTGAGTAGCTACACGTGCAGAATACTAACCAAGTAGGCACTGTTGGGCTCTTTATTCTGTTGTTGTCGTTTCCCTAAGCAAGAAACAAAGGAAAATAATCTGGGGTCTCTCATCTCCAGAAGCTAACAATTTAAATAGGAAATATTAGATTCCAGGGAGAAAAGCGCGCATACAATCTGGGGCAGAAAAATCCCAAATTCACAGACTATCAGCACCACCTGGAGCAGGTGTGTTACCAAGTGACTTTACCAATGGTATGGGTACCAGTGGAACTGGTTTAGGGATAGGATCTCTAGGGGGAGGAAAACGACATTATTTTTCAGGTTATGAGACAAATACAAGCAAGGCTGGTTTACCAGGTCTAAGAACCAGGCAGGTAGAAGAAACCTAGATGTGCTTCCAAGTTCAAAAGCCATAGGGTGGCGTTGGACACCTCACTGTTTTCCAACTTTTGTTCTATTGGCTTTTCTCACTATGGTTTCTCTTCCATGTGAGGGTGTGTTTCGCTTATTCTAGAGTATTATTTTTAAAGAGAGAGAGAGATTTCCAATTCTAGTCTTAAAAAACCCTGGAGCTCACTTTTCCCTCTGGGTGGAATTACTAGCTAGGAAACAACCCCCATCTAGGCACAGAGCCAACTTGGAGAAGAGGGACATTCAGACAGATTGTCCCAGAGAAAGGTGTCCTCAGGAAGGAGACAGAGCAGTTTTCATAGAAAGAAAAGATGCATCCACACTTCCAGAGAGAGGGATTAGACCCTGGGGAAAATTGGGAGTGGATTGGGAGTGAAATGGGGGTTTGTGGGCCTGGTGGGGAATCTCCCATGTGTAATTGTGTTGTTTTTTTTCCTTCTAAGATAAAATAATGTTAACATTAATAACAACTTATACTGCTACAATATAGTGTACAAAGTTTCTTTACTCTTCCTGATGATGCAAAAACTCTGCAAACTTTTTTTTGGCGGGGGGTGGGGAGGGAGACAGGGCTCAGGGCTCAACCCTAAAAGAAAAAAAAACTATTAACTCAAAGTGTGGGCACATTATGTTGTACACCTGAAACTAATATAATCTTACATGCTGATCACATTTCAATGAAAAAAAAAGGAAAGAAAAAAAAGCATAAATAAAAGATCTTTTAAGTTCCGTATTTCCTCTCTGGGGAGCCTTCGAAGGATGGAAAAGAGAGCAGAAGACAGGGAGGTGTGAGCCCTCATCTAGGTACTTGAACCCTCATCTCTCTGAAATAAGACACAGTCTTTCATGTAGCTCACACTCTCTTGTGTGTCCATTTGGTTAAATGTAGTAGATATTTAGAGTGAGAATTGATTTGTGAATTGAGGGTGTTTTCTAGGAGGAGAGAGGCAGGGTCCAAGAGTTGTAAATGGGGGCCATGAGTAGGGTGACCCCAAGTCCTGGTTTGCTTGGAACAGGCCTCATGTATACCTATTCCTGCTGTAATTATTCCAGCACCCCTTTCCCTCTCAGATGTGTCCTGGTTTGGACATTAACCCGTACAGTCACCCTAGTCGTGGGAGACTTGGCAGGCTGTCTTTTTTTTCCCCCCATAAAATTGTTCTGACTATTCCCCTGGCAGGGGTGGAGGGGGTCACCAAGGTTGTTCAGGGCTCAGCTGGGAGCAGCGCACTGTGCTAGGCTCTTAGGAGCGTTACAAAGAAGGAGAGGAATTTGTCTTCCCACCGTAATATTTCTGAACTGGCATGAAGTTGTAAGGAAATGAAACACACACACACACACACACACACACACACACACTCACTTTCTCATTCTCAAGGCTAGCGCTTCTAAGAAGCTAACTCTGCATCCCAGGAATGTTCCAGTAAAGTGCTTGAACCCTAATCACCTGTGTGCTTCTGACTCTGGAAGGGGCCTCAGGCAGTGACCTGGGCAGAGCTGCCTGTTTAAAAATCATCTGGGGAACTTGTTAAAAATAGAGATTAGGCCTACTGCCTGAGATTCTGTATCAGCACATCTGAGAATCTATTAAAAAATGATAACAAGGCTTCCCAGGTGGTTTGGACATGAAAGCCAGATTTGGACTTACTGGTGAGTCATCATCCTTTGACCCCTGCCTACAGTGACCCTTTGTTGCTGTGGAAACCACTGATTTACCCCTCAGCCAGACTGGATTTTACTTCTTCTTCTTCTTCTTCTTTTTTTTTTTTTTAAGTACACATCTGTTTCAAAAATAGAGGGCATTATTCAAAAATAGAAGGCTTTCCCTCTCAAGATATTTATATTTAGAGAGGAGAAGCAAAGTCCCCAAAAGGCAGAAAGCCTTCCCGTTTGAAACCAAATTCAGCAGGAAGTGGGCATCCCTCATTACTGTAGCACAACCAGAAAGAAGTAATGAGCAGTTATTTCCTGAGGCAAGTTTCAGACCGTATGGAGCTCCCTTGTTGTGAGACGCCTGGCTGGAGGCTTGGGCTCACAGTGGTCTGAGGGGTTGGTGGATGGTTGGCCAAGATGGCATCAAGAGAGGCTCCAGCCTGAGGCAGACCTGGAAAAGGATGGCCCTGCCGAATTACGGTCAGAGTAACATTTGCACACACGCTGCTGTACGGCCAGGAGACCCACACTAAGCCACCCTGATGAATATCTCACATTTATTGGACATGAAACAGTGACCCATCTTCCTTCAGGCTTCAGAAGCAGAGGAGATGGGGCAGAGGGGCCAAGAGAAGGTTTCTCTGTAGCTTCATGTTGCAAAGTTGGCCTGATGAATCAAGAGTTTAACAATGCTGAGTTCTATCTTTTAGCTTTGAAAATAAAAGCACAAAATGGTTACATCTCAAACAGAAGGATCTCAGCGTTCACTGCTCCTTGTAAATCCTGATACCTCTCCTTGGCACACCAAAGCGGAATGTCCCCTCCCAGGATACTCACTGGGATCCGTCACCTCACCAGCAGCTACTGGAGTATGGGGGACACCACACTACGGTTCTGTGTTACAGAAGGAGCTGGTGCTTCTCTGAATAGGGATCATTCCTTTTGGGTTTTCCTTCTCTCCCTCTCTCAGACTTTGCCTGCAGAATGCCTTGGCTTCAAGTGGATGGTACTTTTCAAACAAACACTCAACCCCAAGAGGTAAGTCTTTTTTTCCAGAAATGCTTCTAATGTGCTTCTTGGTTTAGGGCACAGAAAACCGGGCTCGGTCCCCTGATCCAGCGGGCTGTCGATACACTCCATGTGACCATCCACTCAGGGCCCATGGACCACCAAGGTCGGTATCAAATATCCTCCTCCAAAGCCTTGCACAGCTCTGCTCCCCCTTGCCTAAAACCCTCAGTCACCACCTAGGACATAGGGCTTCCCTTTGCTCACACAACTCACCTCCCAGCCAGTGGGTCTTCCCAAATACTAGTATAACTACCTCTCTTCCACCTCAGCTGAAGGCAGACCCCTCCTCCACATTTGGACTGGGGATAAGGACTGTCACCAGGAAACACAAGGCAATCTGCTGGATTTACTCCAAGGGAAATGTCTACCAATTTAATTTTTCAGGGCTGAGTACACGATGAGAAACGGACAAAAGGACAAGGAGAATGTGATGTGAGACAGATGAAGCTAGAAAGGACCACAAGAGGACATGAACAGGGCTGGATGGAAAGGGAAGGAAGTGAGGTCTCCACCCAGTGTCCCACCCCACCAGTCTTTACTTCAAACCTCCTCCAGCTCTAGTTGCCGCTGCTACACACATCTTCCCCCTCCGTGTCTGAACCACTCACCTCCTGTGGGACCCTGGGCTCCTCCCTGGGGTCTGCTGTGCCACGTGTGCGTAGAGCTACCCACTCACGCTGGTAGTCTCCCACCTGGCCATATTTTGATTTAGGGGTCTCTCCCAGTGCACCCTGGGAAACTGTAGAGAAGCGCTCACTCCTCCCTTTTTGTTTCCTCTTTCCCTCAGGCTGAAGCTCCAAGTAATTCAGAGGTCTTCATCTGGGACCCACCATGAGTTTCCGGAGCTCTGGGAACCTCTTAATACTGCACACATCGTTTGTGTGTGAGCGTGTTTGTGTGTGTCTGTGTGCGTGTGTGTGTGCATGGGCACAATTTTCTGGGGGTAAGATGCACCAATTTTTTTCCATCAGATTTTCAAAGGGACCCCCAAAAGATGAGGAACCACTGATTGGTCCTGGTCCTGAGCCTGTCCTGTGCAAGTAGCGTGGGTAATGAACAGTGTGGATGGGCAGGCTGGAGATGCTCACACGTTGTGATGCTCAGCAATGGCCCCCCACCCCGGTCCCCCGCACAGTACCTTGGAAGCAGCCATCACTGCCGCTGTGGCCGCCACATTCAAGCCCCGCTTCCCAAAGTGCACAAGGGCATCATAACTTCGGTCTTTTGCTTGGACCAAGCAATCATCAATTTCCTGTTGAAGGAAAAGCAGAGGCACACTGAGTTGGAAGGTCCAAATAAATCTCTGTTCTTTCCTCCCTTCTGAGCACTGGGCTTGGCAGCGTGCCCAATCACAGATTCTCGTTGAGACTGAAAAGTCATAGACACTTTGGGGTGTGTTTTTGGAGGAAGAGTAGACAGGAGGAGGAGGGGAAACAGAAGAGATACAGGGAAGTGAAAGAGGAATTTCAAAAAAAAAAAAAAAAAAAAACAGCGACTTACTGATCTAGGAAGGTTTTCTTTGAGCAATAGCCTAGGATTGTTCCTAAAGTCCTCTAACCTTCCAGGAAGGCTCCAGGGGTCCTGGATGTGGACGGTCCTGCATTCTATACACAGCTACTCTCTAAGACATTGAAGGAATGGAAGAACTGAAGGAGAGAATGCCAGGAATCCAGCATCTAACCTCAGACCTGCCACTAACTGGCTGTCAGGGCTTGGCAAGTGTTTAGCATCTGAAAAATGAGGACAGTGACAGTATCTAACTCATGGAGCACAACAAGGAATACACGAGACCATTTTAGTAAAGATCTAACACAGTGGCTGGTTTCAGTAAGTGAGGACCACTGTCATCTTCCTATCTCAAGGGGGTCAGGCCCTTGCAGCTCTGAAATCCTACTATTCTGTAGCTATTTCATACTATATCCAAATCCCTCCCGTGTAGGTATCAAGGGGAGAGATGACATAAAAAGAGGTAAGTGCTATTTTTGTTGATAAGGGAGATCATTTTATGGATAACGAAATAAAAACAGAAATGAGAAGTCATCCAACAATATCCCCAGGGTCAGGGGAGAGGTTGGAAAGAGGATTGAAGTCTCTTTCCTTGAGGGACCGAAACAGTGGTTTACTTCAAATTTGCATCGAGTCTGGCTTATTCTTTTTGTTTGTTTGGGCTGGGTTGTTTTGTTGTCACTGTTTAAAGAACGGCTGTTTTGTACATCACAGTAGCTCATTTTGGAGTTCAGTAATACAATGACACTTGTCCTTGGACTCATTTGAAGTTCAGCACATCAGTGCATTTCCTTTGCTTTGAGGTATCAAGTGGGACAGTCAACCCCTGTGCATTCCTTGTTCAAGACTTCCCCAGGAAGTCCCCACACTAAGTTTTCATTGTGACCCCTGACTGACTCTGGTGGGGATTCTTGGCATCTCGTAAGAGTCAGTCACCTTCACTTTACTGGAAATGACATTGGTGGCTTCAGGGTAAGCCCAGCATCTGGGGAAAGGGAAGTGCCAAGAATAGGGATTTGTCAACCAGGTCATGAGAGAGCTCCCATTCCCCAAAATCCACCCTTCCGACACAGGCAGTGCTGTGTCCTGGTTCCTAAAAGCATTCTCAGAAATGTCTATAGTAGTCTGCTCATCCAATTACTATGTTCCCCTAAAATCTTCCCCCAGAAGGCCAAAGTACTCAACTTTCAGAAACAATAGAAATTTATATATAAAGCCACCTACAGGGCTCCTATTTTATGTTAAGAATCATATCTCAATCAGTTTAGAAGATCATGTAATAGAATTAATGAATTATACAATATTGGACTCAGTAACCCCGCTCTTGGCAATTTATTCTAAGACAATAAGTCAAAAGAAGAAATTAATCTCAAGGTACTGTGGGGTTCATGAATCCTCATGAGGATCAAGTACAAATCGGTTATGTGCAAACATGTTTAAGATCTCAGAATTTAAATGTATCTATATTAAGGGTTTCTGTTGTTTTTTTGTTATTTGGGGTTTTTTTGGTATACTTAAAATTTTAAAGAAAAGACTGGTATGCATAAAAAACAAAGTTATCAAAGCAATTTAGTAAGACAAAGGTAATGCATTTATTATTGTATGAAATCTTAAAAAAAAAAAACAGTAGAGCAATCCAGTGAAAGCAAATCTTGCAAATTAAGTTCAGTAGAGATGTTAAACAAAAAATCATTTTATGGACAGTGCCATTATACGTAGCTTATAACTAAATTTCTCTTCAAGAGATATAAGTTGTAATTCTTACTTGAATTCTTAGTTATTGCTGACCCTTTCCTGCAATTTTTCCCTGTCTTATTTTTCCCATCTCTGGCATTAGACAAATCTATATTTTCATTGCAAAGATGTTTGTGAAGCAACTCGAAGCAAAATAAACACAAAAGGTAAATAGCATGAAACAAATTATTATGACTGCTCTCACTAGTCCTTACCAACTGATAATTACCAAAATAGCAGGGATTCCATTGGTAGGCATGTATTTATCATGGAACAATAAAGCAAACACTGCACAAGAATTTCTTATCTTCCAGTGTCAGTCCGTAGCTATCTGGGCACTAGTTCAAGTCATTTAATCTCATTATGGTTCCGTTTTCCTATGGTACGTTTTAAAAGTATTTTTCAATAGTCTATGTAAAAATCATATCTACAAAAGGATGGGAGCTGAGCATGATGAAAGGAAGGAAATTCAGCTTGGGGAGTTGAATTCTGAGTGAATCTTTTGTTGTTTTTTGTTTCAATTTATGGAAATGCTTTTCAATCAGTAATGATACATAACATCTTTTTGAGGATCTCACCACGATTTCTAAACATGTCAGAAAAATACATTAAAAAAAGAAGATTAGAAGGAACAAATTGTTGGAGGGAAATAAGAGAAAATCGAGGGTCTCCTACAATAAAACACTTTGTCCTTTTTACTGATCACTTTTTAAATTTTTTACTTGCCGGAAGGAGTGAAAACCTGAGCAGCATAAATTACCTTTTCTTTTGAAGACAGCGTGGGATGTACAAACTTCCTGTATAGGAGGCTGGAGCCTTTTGTGTAGGGAGACAGCAGCCAGGCTACAAAGGCTATTTTTAGTTCATAATAGAATGGAAACCTGGAGAGAGATGAGAAAATACATGTTCTATTCGGTTCTCAGCAACACAACCCCAAGACCCAGCTGCACAGACGCCTCTTCTGCAGGCCTCCAGATCCCTCCTGCCACCACTGGTGAAGGGTGTGCGCACTTGCCAACACAGAGCAAAAGCCCAAAGCCGCCTTTTTTCCCTTCCTTTTTCTAAGATTTTATTTTTTATTTTTATTTTTTTTTAAGATTTTATTTATTTGAGAGAGAGAAAATGAAAGAGAGAGAGAGAACACAAGACGGGGGAGGGTTAAAGGGAGAAACAGACTCCCCACTGAGCAGAGAGCCCAATGCGCAACTCGATCTTGGGACTCCAGGATCATGACCAGAGCCAAAGGCAGAAACTTAACTGAATGAGCCACCAGGTGCCCTAAGATTTTATTTTTTTAAGTAATCTTTACACCCAACATGGGGCTCAAACTCACAACCCTGAGATCAAGACTTGCACGTTCCACCAACTGAGCCAGCCAGCACCTGCTGCCCCTCCCCCATGATCCCCCTCCCCTCACACAAGGCATCTTTTCAAAGCAGGTTCTTGTTTTCTCTTTTTGTCAAAGCAAGCCAGGGACCCAGGTTCTCTCCAGCAACCACCCTGCGGCCATGCTTGGCAACTGCTGGGGCTTCCTGCAGGGTTCCACTTGTTGCGGTGGGAGCCGGGGCTCCAGCCACAGCCTGCGGGGTCAGATGGCCATGGCCCTCTTAGCCCTACACCCAGCCACTGACTCTTCACTGGTGGCCAAGAAGGCACAAACCCCTGGAGGATTTAGAACAGGGAGGAGCTAACCAAGAACCTCCAGACAGAATCAAAGCTTCCCCTTCTTGGCTGTCTTTTTGGTCTCAAAAGAGGCAGGGATAGGAGCCAAACTCTTGCCAGCAAAAAGGATGCTACTCACCCTAATATATCCTACGGCAGGTGAGCAGATTCATGCCAAGAGAAGAGTTCAGAGCGCAGATAACCTATAATCCTGGAGTCAGAAGTCCTGAGTACTATTCATTCATTCATCACATGAACACTTATCCGCTCCAACACGTGTTAGCTTGTGCTGAGCACTGAGGACACAATGCTGAATAAAAAAGACTGATCCCTGCTCTCTTGGGGCTTTCAGTCTAGTGGGAAACAGATAAGAGTGTCTTGTATCTTTGGAACTGATGGTCCAGGCAGAAAAACAGAGACTGATCAAAGAACTGCAAAAGACACAGAACAGCAACCAGAGACAAGTGTCAAAATGGGCCTCTGCCAGCCCATGTGGTGCCTTTGTATGCCAGTCCCTTCAACTGGAGGCAGTCCTGTGAGCATGACTAGTGAACAGGGCTTCATTTGAATTTCAGCCCCACCTGCCACCTTGGCCAGATATCTTGTGCTATGTACAACCTGTGCAACAATACTTGGCTGTTCTGCTGTGTACTAATACCATGTCTTTTTATTTTCTTTATTCTAATGCTTTGGCATCTTGGGGCCTTCCTGACTCTGAAGAGACTGTCCCTCTCTGGGTTAGCCAATTCTGAAAGATAGGAAACAACTCGCCCACAAACAAGCCTTTCAAATGTAAACCAACCAATCCAGAACCCATATCCCAACCACCTCCTTTAGGAGCTCTCACACTCTGGCCCACTCTCCAGCTGCTCTAATCACTCCAGGGCCAGGTACCAGCCAACAAGGGACAGCCCCAATACCCCAGAGCCCATAGAAATTATTCAGACTAGTTGGTCCTAAACATGTTTACTCTGCCTTGCCTGTTCCTTCCATGGAAACCACCATAAAGATTCTTGCCCACACTTCCTACCTCTGCTTCTTGACTGACCTCACGCGTGCTGTGCCTCCTGTTTCTAGGGACCTGTGAGTTTAACGACCCGCTCCCTTCATGACAGTCATTCCTGAGTCTGTGCATCTTACCATACTGGATTAAAACAAATCCCGGGTACCCTTAGAACATGATCCTCTGAGGGAAAAGGACACCTGCATTAGTCTGAAGAATCAGAAAAGTAAATTCCTCCCACTCACGCTCTCGCCCCCCCGTAACGCAGCTGAAAATAAAGAGTGATTTCTGGCAAGTCAGTTCAGAGCCATCAACTCTCACACAGACTCCCAAATCAGCAGCTCCAGCCACTCTGCTTTCCTCATCGAGGACCCTGGTCCGCTGCCTTTGGCCTCTGGCAGGCTCTTGCCGAATATTCCCTCTGCAACTCCAGGACACGGTCATGTCAAGACTGCTGAATGTTTCACAGCCATCAGACAAGAGGCTGAAGGAACAGAGGCATGATTTTGCCACACTGGAACCCTCCACTGATTATTAATGAAGGAAATTTTGTCTTGAAAACAACTATTTACCAGCCCCAAGGGGAAGGCAAATGAATCTAGCAAGCTCAGGCATCAGTACAAGATACACAGTCCCAAGGGATCTATCACACGACACCGCTTTTGTTGGCTATGTGAAAGATGTTTTTGTAACAGGTAATACATGCATATAGTTTTTAAAAATTCAAATATCCAAAAGAGTATACAACAAAGAGTCTTCTTTGCATCCCAGACTTTTAGTCCCTTTTCCAAAAGCAAAAGCATTATCAGTAGTAGACTTCAGACACCTAAGATAGACAATCACGTGGGTATACGTGACTCCTTTAGCAACCCCAAACACACATGGTAATATTCGATAATCCCTTTCCCACACCACACTTCCCCCATCAAGAACACACACACACACATACACACACCCCTAATAGTATACTTTGAGGGATGATCTCGAGCTATCCCTGGAATCATCACCCCAGAACTGGGCCCTTGTGAGGTATCATAAGGGTCTCCCAGTTGAGCCACTCAGACCCTGTTACCCAGAGGCCTTGGGCTCGCTTGGCTCTACCAATGCAATTACCACCAACCAGCTGAAGGTGAAGGAGAAGTCACCTTCACCTGACCTACCACCGTCCCAGCCTCACCCAAGAGGCGGAGAAGGACCATGCTTGTTCCTTGATGATAAGTCCTTGAACTGTCCTGACTGCTAGGATATATTTCCCTCCCCAGATACAGGTGCACAGCCCTGGAGTGCATGGGGGAGGTGAAGACTCCCACCCTTCCGATGATATACCTTCACACTCCTGAGGGGTAACTGTTTCCTCAGAGGCTTGGACACGTGATGAAATTGCCAAAACACATGCAATTAATGTGCACAGAAAATTTCTGGAAGAACACACAGGTAACTTTTAACAGTCGCATCCCTGGAGAGAGAGAATGAAGGCCTGGGGGAGGAGAGCCTCACTTTTTAGTGTACGGTTTCAATTTCATTTTGCCATGTGATACAGTGTTTTGTAAATGTTAGAAAACTAGATGAAATCACCTATGGATGTTGTGAGAGAAGTCACCATCCTCTATCTCCTGTGACCATATATGACTGCTGTTTACATCAATAGAAAGTTTAAAAGAAGTTAACTATGAAGAGAAAACTGCCCTAGGGGAGTGGTAGAAAGAGTGCAGTGGGGATGAGCGAGGAGGGAGGAAGGGAGGAAGATAAAGGGAAGGGGCCATCTCCAATCCTGGAAGTGAACCAGTGTTAAAGATGCTTCCCAGGAAGCCAGAAGGTGCCTCCAGGAAGAACAGAAGCTTCAGTCTCTCAATCTCTCTCTCTCTCTCTCTCTCATTACAGAGAGTGCAGAGCTGCCAAGCTGGTGTCCATGTCCCTGGAAAGGGGGAAATAGGGCTCTGTCTGTCTGATCGGCCTGTTCTGTGCCATTCCCTGAGCAAGAGGCAGGAGGGAGTGGGAAGACTCTGCCCAAAGACAGCTGTGACCTATAACGCCTTCGGGTTTGCAGAGAAAGAGAAAGCAGGCTGAGGGCAGGACCAGACTATGGGCTAAAGCAGGCAGTGAAGGTTCCCAACCTCTTTCTTGCAGAAGATGGACAAGACCCTCACATCCCATACATAAACCACTGGACAGCTCTTGCTACGCTGGGCCAGCTGAGGCCTCCACACGGATCAGGAAGAGGGGGAGTCTACCTGCACCCACACACAGGCACCCAAACCCCAGGTATCAGAGGCCCTCCGGCGGTCAGAAGAATTTTGGTCCCATGACCTTCTCATCCATATGTTCCCTTCCCATGGCAAAAGGGAACCTGAAGACGTAATTGAGATTATCAGCCAGCTGGCTTTAAAATAGGAAAATTATATTGGATTATTGGGGGTAGGTCTAATCTAATAACATGATCCCTTAAAAGCAGAAGTCGAGCTCTTTCTCTGGCCAGCAGCAGAAGGCAGAGATTTGAAGCTTGAGAAGGCTCTGACAGGCACTGCGGGCTTGAAGCTGAAGTGGGAGGCACTTGTCAAGGAAATGGGGACCTCAGTATTATAGCCACAAGAAACTGAATTCTGCCTACTCTCCAAATAAGCCTGAAGTGGCATCTCCCCTAGAGTCTCCAGAGAAGAGCTCAGGCTGGCCCACACCCTGACTTTGGCTTCATGGGTCCCTGAGCAGAGGACTCAGTGGATTCTACCTGGACTTCTGACTCACAGAAACTGAAATACTTAATTTCTGTGGTTTTAAAGCTCCTAAACCTGTGACAATTTGTTACAGCAGCAACAGAAAGCTCATACACTCCCCCCAAATCAAAATCAAATCAATCCAGAGATAGCTGATAAGTATTTATTAAGTATGAAACTCTGAAGTCCCAGGGCCATGAGTAAAAATATACTCCAATTACCAGGGACACTACACCCATCACTAGACCAGATTTCTACTTGGCCAAGAGCAGTGAGACAGAAATACCAATACCCCTGGAAAGAGCTCATAAGACTAACACTAGTCCCCCATGATATTTGCGAGGAGGGACAGAAGGACAGCAGAAGGCCACCCAGCACCACACACAGGACACTGTTCAGAGGGAAGACCGGAGGACATGAGGTGGTGGCCATGATGTTTAACTGATGACACAGTCTTCACTGGGCCTGGCCTGTTTCCCTCATCTCCCCATGGGGTACAGGAACCCCCCCCCAACATGGCTTTACCCAATATGGGGCCTTACTCCTGGTACCAGACCCTGCAGCCTGGGGAAGACAAAGGATGCTCAGCAGAGCTCCTTCTCCACTCCTGGAGACTTAGTCCATCCTGAGTCTGTGGTTTATTGGGGCACATGGCACCAACATTATACATTAGGTAATCCACATTTCTTCTCTACACAATGGCTGAGACATCTATGTCTCCCAGTGGGGATGAAAGCCAGCCTCCTTTCGGGGGAAGACTACACACTAAGGTCTTTAAGACCATTGATCCAAAACAAGATTCACAGAAGTGGTATTTGGGTCTCATTCTTGGCCTATGACATCCCAGAGGGTAAGTTCATACTGAAGCTCTTTGGGTAAGGAGTTTCTCCAAAATGGAAATATTTTTATTATTCTTTCTGATGATAATTGATCATGGTGAAACATTCATACAACATAGCCTAATAAAAAACCAACCCCATGATTCCAAGTTGTAGAAATAAATTTGGTTAATGAATGGGTATTTCTGAACTACTTTTAGGACTATACATTTAGTATACATTCACATGTGGTACAGAGAAAGTTAGGCTCATTAAGGAGAAATAAGATGCTACACATTATCTACAGCCTCTTTCACCTTCGAAGATGCAATATATCGGGGCGCCTGGGTGGCTCAGTGGGTTAAAGCCTCTGCCTTCGGCTCAGGTCATGATCCCAGGGTTCTGGGATCGAGCCCCGCATCAGGCTCTCTGCTTAGCAGGGAGCCTGCTTCCTCCTCTCTCTCTCTGCCTGCCTCTCTGCCTACTTGTGATCTCTGTCTGTCAAATAAATAAGCAAAATCTTTTAAAAAAAAATGCAATATATCAATGCATGGACCTAGCTTATAATTTTTACTTGCTCCATTGCTATAACAGTGGCATTGTTATAAGGAAAAAAATTTTCCATCAAAAGGGGATTGATTAAATTATGGTCTGTCTATACCATGAAATTCCATGCAGCCATGTAAAAAATAGGGAGATCTAGGGTGCCTGGGTGGCTCAGTGGGTTAAAACCTCTGCCTTCGGCTTAGGTCATGATCCCAGGGTCCTGGGATTGAGCCCCGCATTGGGCTCTCTGCTCAGTGGGGAGCCTGCTTCCTCCTCTCTCTCTCTCTGCCTGCCTCTCTGCCTACTTGTGATCTCTCTGTGTCAAATAAATAAATAAAATCTTAAAAAAAAAGAAAGAAAAAAGTATATATGTGTGTATATATGTACATACATAAATATGTTAAAAGTATATACAATGGTGAACAGTAGTTATAGTGAGAGTGAATGGTGCTTGAGAGAAACCTAGTTTTATTAGTCAAAGGGAAATTTGTGTGTACTGTTTCTTCCCTTTGGTGTTTTTTTTGTTTTGTTTTGTTTTGTTTTGATATATAAATGTTTCCTTACCAACTACATTAGTTGGGGAACTTTATTTATTTTGTCCACCATTATATCATTATATTATAAGAACAATACCTGCTCTTATAAGGTCATTGAACAAATATTTACTTGAAGAGCAACTTTATAGATTTAATTTATTAAAACTATCCCAGTAAGACTGAGACTGCTTCTAGAAATTTCCTACCTCTCCACTGATACTGGGCAACATCTTCCCTTGAAAAGTCCCATGTCCTGGATTACTTACCAACAAAGGAAGATGTCGGTGAATGTCTCTGCTGTGGTAAAAAGTGCAAATATAATCCAGTACATCATCCATTTGACCTGTTGAAAGAAAAAACAAAAAAGCTAGTCGATAAGGTCAAGGATAAATGGCTGGCTGCCCAACATCAAGGACAAGAGGCTCAAACAGTGGATGCTGAGGCATGCCCAGGCAGTATATCCTGCATTTGTAACCCGTTCTCCCTGTCCTTCCACAGCTTGGTTTCCAGTTGCACTCCAGACTTTGGGGCTGGAGGCAAACAAGCTACTTCCACAAATAACCCAGACTCAAGGTCAAAGTAGATCCTGGTGACAATCTAGGCTTCACGTGAGCCAGGGAGACCAGCAGACCAGGAGGGACTCAGGATTCAGTTAGGTCATTTTACCAAGACTAACACCACATTAGTAGACTCTCCAAGTCTTAACAGAGATATACTCTGGAATGACCTTTAATCAGGCCAGACTTTCTGGAATGTGGTCACTTAGGAATGCTTTCCTATGGAAAAGTCTCACATCCCCTCACAGAAACTAGATCCTTTTTTTTTTTTTTTAAATCTCTCCCATGTGACCAACCTTATGCATTTCAACTGTCTCTCTCCTCCAGTAGAGCCCTTGGACCCCTGTCTTCCAAACCACTGCAAGTCTTCCACCTGCTTCATTTGTCTCCTGGCTTCTTCCACACCAACTCATCCTATAAACCACCCCTATGCTAATCTTCCCAAATCAAGAATTTACCAGACTACTCCCTGATTTAAAATCTTCCAGCCTGCAGAATAAAGTCCAAATTCCTTAGCCTGCTCCATGTAGTGTCTGGTGATGGTGGAATAAGGCATTTGACTAACCCTCCTGCTAACAATGATAACAAACTCTGAACAAAATATTTAAAAACAACTCCTTGAAGCCACTAGAAAGCTATCAAAAGTTGGTAGAGCTGCGGGTCCATATCTGGGCTCTCTACTCTGTTCCACTGGTCTATGTGTCTGTTTTTGTGCCAATACCATGCTATCTTGGTGATCACAGCTTTGTAATAAGGCTTGAAATCAGACGATATGATGCCCCCAGTTTTGGTTTTCTTTTTCAACATTTCCTTAGCAATTCGGGGTCTCTTCTGATTCCATACAAATTTTAGGATCGTTTGTTCCAGCACTTTGAAAAATGCTGCTCTATGGTCAACTAATCTTCAACAAAGCAGGAAAAAATATACAGTGAAGAAAAGTCTCTTCAATAAAAGACACTGGGAAAATTGGACAGCTATGTATAGAAGAATGAAACTTGACCATTCTCTTACACCATATACAAAGATAAACTCAAAATGGATAAAAGACCTCAACATGAGGCAGGAATCTATCAAAATCCTAGAGGAGAACATATGCAGTAACCTCTTCAACATTGGCCACAGCAACTGCTTTCAAGACATGTCTCCAAAGGCAAAGGAAACAAAAGTAAAAATGAACTTTTGGGACTTCATCAAGATCAAAAGCTCTGCACAGGAAAGGAAACAGTCAACAAAACAAAGAGACAACCCAGGAGTGGGAGAAGATATTCACAAATGATACTACAGACAAAGGGCTGATATCCAGTATCTATAAAGAACTCCTCAAACTCAACACTCAAAAAACAGATAGTCACATCAAAAAATGGGCAGAAGACAAAACAGACACTTCTCCAAAGAAGACATACACATGGCTAACAGGCACATGAAAAAATGTTCATCATCATTAGCCATTGGGGAGATTCAAATCAAAACCACATTGAGATACCACCTTACACCAAGTAGAAGGGCCAAAATCAACAAGATGGTAAACAACAAGTATTGGAAAGGATGTGGAGAAAGGGGAACCCTCTCACACTGTTGGTGGGAATGCAATTTGGTGCAGCCACTTTGGAAAACAGTATGGAGATTCCTCAAGAAATTAAAAATAGAGCTACCCTATGACCCTGCAATTGCACTACTGGGTATTTACCCCAAAGATACAGATGTAGTGAAAGGAAGGGTCATCTGTACCCCAATGTTCATAGCAGCAATGGCCATAGTAGCCAAACTATGGAAAGAACCAAGATGCCCTTCAACAGACAAATGGATAAAGAAGATATGGTCCATATATACAATGGAATATTATACCTCAATCAGAAAGCATGAATACCCAACATTTGTATCAACATGGACTGGACTGGAGGAGATTATGCTGAGTGAAGTAAGTCAAATAGAGAGAGTCAATTATCATATGGTTTCACTTACTTGTGGAGCATAAGGAATAACACGGAAGACATTGGGAGATGGAGAGGAGAAGGGAGTTGGGGGAAATTGGAGGGGGAGACAAACCATGAGAGATTGTGGACTCTGAGAAACAAACTGAGGGGAGGGGGTAGGGGGTTGGGTGAGCCTGGTAGTAGGTATTATGGAGGGCACGTATTGCATGGAGCACTAGTTGTGGTGTAAAAACAATGAATCTTGGAACACTGAAAAAATAAAACTAATTTTTTTTAAAAAGTTGGTAGAAACTGGAAGAAAACCACAGCAGGATAGATCCACATTGATGTGCCTGGGAACAACCCCAGCCTGCAAATCAGGGGCAGACAGAATTCAAAAAGAAACACATAGTCGTTTTGCCTGCAGAACTGGAGAATGAAGTTTGAGATTGCTAGAGAAGCTAGAAATTAAGAGGGAAAAATCCCAGAGAAGGAAGCTATAAAGGGAAAGGCCCCAAAATCCACATGTAAATTCCCCTTAAGTATTTGCCTGGCCCCTGAGTTGCACAGAATCAGGCAATACTCCAAGGTGGCCGAGGAAAAAAAAAGTTGGAAAGCTGGAAAAAATTGAGAAGACTAGTATCTTCTCACTGTAGTAGAAACAGAGTTTAGAGTTTGAGTTTTACCAAGTGGAGGAACTTGGTAAACATCTGGGAATTTTCACTGAAACATCTAAAAGAGCATACCTTAGTAATAAAAATTACATCCCAGGACTAAGAGATCAGCTCTAAGACTAAGGACAAAACTGAAATACCTCTGCCCCAGTAAACATAAAATTTAACTGCCACAAGGTCAAGATGATCTACAGAATTTAACTACCTACTGGAACAAAACTCAACATTCCTTACAAGAATGTAACATAACATTGTAACAAGATTGCAGAATATTAGGTTAATATATAAAAGTCAGGGGCACCAGGCTGGCTCAGTCAGTAGAGCCTCTGACTCTTGACCTCAGGTTGTGAGTTTGAGCCCCACATTGGGTGTACAGATTACTTAAACATAAAGTCTTAAAAAAAGTCAACTGACTTCCTACATATCTGGACATATGGAACTTGAGATTAAAATACCATTTACATTAGCAGCAAAAAAATAAATTACTGAGGAATATATCTAACAAAATATGTAAAAGTTCTATGTGAGGAAAACTATAAACTTTGATGAAGGAAATCAAAGAAGATCTAAACAAACGGAGAGATATTCCATGTTCATTGATAGAAAGACTCAATATGGTCAACACATCATTTCTTTCTTCCAAAATTAATCTATAGACTCAATGCAATCCACATCAAATGCCAGAATATTCTTTTGTGGATCCCAACAAACTGACTCTAAAGTTTATGTGGAAGGGTGAAAGACCAAGAATAGCCAGTATAATACTGAACAAGAATAAAGTTGTAGGCTTGACGCTATCTCCCTTTAAGACTTAATATAAAGCTACAATAATCAAGACAGTGTTATTGCTGAAGGAATACATAAATAGATCTTAGAATAGACAAATAGAGGGGGGTTCCAGGATGGCTCAATCAGTTAAGTGTCTGGCTCTTGATTTTGCCTCAGGTCATGATCTCAGGTTGTGCGATTAAGCCCCACATCAGGCCCTGTACTCAGTGGGAAGTCTGCTTGAGAGTCTCTCTCTCCCTCTCCCGTTGCCCCTTCCTCCACTTTCTCTCTCTCTCTCTCTCTCTCATAAATAAATAAATCTTGAAAAAAAAAAGACAAATAGAATAGAGAGCCCAGATATAGATGCCATAATTATAGTCAACTGATCTTTGACAAAGGAGGACAGGCAATTCAATGGAGAAAGAATAGTTTTTTCAACAAATGGTGCTAGAATAACTGGACATCACATGAAATAAATAAATCAGTAAATAAGTAAGAAAATGAGTAAATGAATGACTCTAAACACTGGTCTTACATCATTCATAAAAATTAACTCAAAATGGATCATAGGCCTAAAAGAAGATACAAAACTATAAAACTTCTAGAAGATAACATAGAAGAAAATCTAAGTGACTTTGGGCTTGGGAATAAGTTTTTTAATACAACAGCAACAGCATGACCCATGTAAGAAAAAAATTGATAAATTGGATTTCATTAAAATTGAAAACTTCTGCTCTGCAAGACACTGGTAAGAAAATGAAAAGTCAAGCCACAGAACAGAAGAAACTATTTTCAATACATATATCTGATAATTAAATAATATCTGAAATATACAAAGATCTCTTAAACTCTGTAATAAAAACAAACAACCCAATTAAAAACTGGGCAAAAGATCTGAACAGACACCTCACCAAAAAAAGATATATAGATATAAAACAACTTAATAACAAAGCTTTTGTTATAAAAGCTAAATTTTCTTTTGTCACCACTTAACAAGACACTTATCCTAAGAACACAGGTGCAGATTCAATATTATTTTTCTTGAAAAGGTACAAATATGTTAAAGAATCTACAGGAAAAGATAGACATATAGAGTGAAGAGATGGAGATTTCAAGAGAAAGGAAGCTTTTTTAAAAAGATTTTTAAAATTTGGGCGCCTGGGTGGCTCAGTTGGTTGAGCGGCTGCCTTCAGCTCAGGTAGTAATCCCAGACTTCCAGGATCGAGTCCCGCATCGGGCTCCCAGCTCCTTGGGGAGTCTGCTTCTCCCTCTGACCTTCTCCTCTCTCATGCTCTCACTCATTTAAAAAAAAAAAAAAGATTTTTAAAATTTATTTGGGAGAGAGAGAGAGGGATCGTGAGCGGGGTTGGGGGGGTAGAGGGAGAAGCAGACTCCCTGCTGAGCAGGAAGCCCGATCCAGGACCCTGGGAT